GTGACTGTGTGGGGGGGCATAGGATATTTTGGAGGGTTATGTATATGTTGGGGGTTGTGGGGGCAGGGTGTGGGTTTGTGGGGTGGTGGGGGTGTGGGGAACTCCCCACCCCTCATTTCCTGCCATAGTGCAACAGCAGCAGGTAGGTCACTCAGGGCACAGGCACCCAGTGGGACACAGCTCCAGCCAGCACTAGACATTGCAGTGAAGGGTGCAGCCTCCCCTGGGCCATCTGTATCCTGGTGCTTCCTGTCACACTCACCAGGCATGGGAGGGAAGCCCTGCATGCTGGGGCTGGCGGCTTTCTCCACCAGGGCTGTGTTGCAGGGGAGGGAAGCCCCAGACACCTTCTCCTGGGGGGCAGAGAAGGCAGCCAGCTCCAGTGCCTGAGGCTTCTCTCTGGTGCTGCGCGGCCCTGGCAGGAAAGGCAGCCGGCTCCAGCACATGGGGCTTCCCTCCCATGCTGTGAGTGCAGGGATTGTGCATGAGTGGCAGGGAGTGTTGGCAATACAAATGACCTGACAAAGGCTGCACCCCTCGCTGCAGTGTACAGTGCTGGCTGGAGCCATGCCCCATCAGGCACCTGCACCCTGAGCACCCTGCCTGCTGCTGCTGCTGCCACCACCTACCAGGGCTGCATGCAATAGGGAGAGGGTGGGGGGAGTCCCCACACCTTCCACCCTCCCTCACACCCACACACTGGCCAGCCATTCTCCATGCTGTTGCCACCCCCTTGGGCACAGGCTCCGTGCTGCCACCAACCTCATCCCCACGCTCTGCACTCCTGCCCAGCTGCAGCTTCACCCTCACTGCTTCCCTACCTGCTGCCCGAGCCAGAAGGAGACCAGGGAAGTGGAGTAGGTCCGTGGGGGCTGCAGCAGCAGTAGTAGCCCCATGCAGAAGCTATGTGCTGGTGGGGCTGAGCCCTTCCACTCACAAGGGTGGGAACAAGGCAATAGGGTATGTTTGGGGCTGTGTGTACGCATAGGCACCTTGCTCCCTTCTCATGAGTGGAAGGCCTGGGTGGGGCACAATTTGCTGGTGGGCCCTTGAGCCAGATAAAAGTGCTTGGCGGGCCACATCCAGCCCATAGGCCGTATTTTGCCCTTCCCATTATAGTTGAATTATTGCTGTTATATTAAATACTCATCACATTAGGGCAGGTTTTTAAAACCTCTTATCCATTTTTCACCCACAGTTTGCAACTGTAAATAGCAGTAGCAGAACAGCTCTGATAACTGCCAGCACCAATAAATTTGTTTGTGCAAAGAGAAAACTAGATTGTAGCTGAGATGAAATTAAGGGACCATACGGCTAAAACTTGATTCCTAATGTAACTTCAGTTTAAATGGCAGGATTAGTGCATGACCTTTTGCCTCTTGAGCACAAGGAAAAACATAAATGAAGACTTTAACTTGAGTCTTTCTAAAAGCAGCTGTTTCAGAATTCTGGTCATTTTTCACTTGACCCCTTCCCTGTGAATGTCATTAATGTGGCTCTTTTGGTAAACCAGCCTTTGTGCAGCACAGGTGTTTTGCCATATTGTATTAGAGGAAGCCAACTGAAAAACAAAATATCCTTACAATGAAGCATATAAACAAACTGGGGACATTGAGGCCTTCAGCTATTTTATCAAATTTATTTTTCACCAGGGTAAGAAAATGTGATGAATTCAATTCAGGAAATTGTATTTTCTATCAGTTTGATGAGGGCTTAATCAGAAAAAGAGATGATGCAAGTAAGATATCGGTGCTAATATATGCATTTACATCTCCCAAGGAACTGAACTCTTGAATATAGTTGCTAATAGAGGTAGCTGCTCATCCTTAAAAGTGGTCTTTCCACTTCAGGTCAAGTACATTAGTGAAGGAGAGCAGAAACTTGAACTCCAGCTAGTTTCCAGAGCTATTAATCCAGCACCTTTTGTAAGCATTAAATTACTAAAAATGTAAAATATAATTATACCATTCAAGATGTACCAGTGCACCTAACTACTTTTATATTTCCTTCATAACATCCCAGGTAATTGAATATATTGCCATGTACTCACAGTTTAACTACAGAATGTAAGGTATCTTCCAAAAAAGTATATATAATGTTTTTCCTTTCTTCCTGTTCACTTAATGCAACAGGTCCAAGCTGTTTTGAGAAGACACTGGAACCAGTACAGAATCCAATTTGAACACAGCTTCAGTCACTCAGATGCTATTCGCACAGCCTCCTACACAGTATCATCAATCAGCGATGTTCAAGGTTACAGCTACAATCATGATTCCACCACTGAACATTTAAATGGGAAAGGATACCATGACATGGAGACTGTTGTTTTAAAAACTGAAAAGTTATATGGCTGACTGCTAGAGACTCTTTAGATCTTCAGTACTCTAATCTTCAGAGTTCATGAACTTGACCTGTTGTTTTAGTGACTTCATGGCCAGATTTTTGCCAAACCTGGGACGTTTTTTTCCTGAATGATGCAACCTAAGACAACATATTCCTCACACGTATATTCATTTATACATATATATGTGTGTGTGTGTGTGTGTGCGCGCGCGTGTGCATGTATGTGTGTCAATGCAGTATGGACACATAAATATATATGTATGCACAAATATATAAGTACATTTATAAAAATACAGACTTTGCCTCTTCAGTTTCTACCGTGTAGACAAAGTTGGCAATTTTTTGTATGAAGGGAATCAATGAAAGATTTCTTATTTTCCTGAAAGCTTGTATGAAGACTAGGTTATATTGTAAGCCACTTCATTTGCAAGAACTCAGCTTGTAAATACTTTATTTATCATATTGTAATGTTTTACTTCAACTGATGCAACCTAAACAAGTGGTTAAGGCAGGTGCCAGAACTACAATAAGATGTCCAGGTTAATATCATATACAATATATAACTATTTAGAAAGACAAACTATTTAGGGCAGGATTGCAGCAACCTATGGCTTGTTGGCTGGATTTAGCCTTCCCAGTGATTTAATTCAGCCTGCAAAGCCAGGACATTGGTGGCAATTTGGTAGTGAGACACCTACCTTTTGAATTAACTCCATTACTTCATCCTGCCACTCCTAAAAGGTTGCCAAGCCCTGGTTTAAGATAATGGACTTTGATATATTGGGGTGA